TCTTCTTGAAGATTGGACTTCTCATGATAATTCATACTGCTTAGTAAAATGTATGATTTCTCTCAAGTCTTTAAATATATTAAATATTTCCTATTGACTTCTGACTTCTACATGAATGGCACTCCAGTTTGGAACTGATTTAGGATTTGAGTTAGTAAATTTAGAAGACTGGAAAAGGTGTGAAGTGAATTAGGAATTGAAAAAGTTCGTCAGTTCTTTTGATCACTGCCTGTGGAGTACACCATTCCAGGGAGAATCTGTCTAGATATTTTATAGAAAGAAAAAGGAATTTCTTCCTAAACGGTTGTGAAATTTGGAGCTGATCAGTTCCAGCCAGATAACTGTGTGGTGCTGCATATTCTCCTCTCTCTCTCTCTCTCTCTCTCTCTCTCTCTCTCTCGCTCTCTCGCTCTCTCACTCTCTCGCTCTCTCGCTCTCTCTCTCCCCCCTCCCCTGCACCTATGTATTATCTATATGTATGTGTGTTTGCTTGTGACTGTGTGTGTAAAACAAGACATATATCTTTTCCTCTTGGCTCTGTTGTAATTCAGTGGTACAAGGATACCTCAAAAAGTTTGTAGAAACACAGAAGTAAAGATAATACGAATCTTTCCATGAACTTTTTGAAGTACCATCCTATGTCCTTAAATTTATCACTTGGCCTTCTTGAGATTCAGGAATTGGCTCTGTACATTAAAGAATGTGGACGCATTCTTCTCTCAATTCCCTCCAAACACAAATATTCTATAATTCTCCAGCTATGTCTTCTCCCTCCCTGTGCATCTTCACTTTCAGAAACAAAGGAAAGACGGTCCATGGCTTTCATCTTTTTGACATCATTAACATTCAGGCACATCCTTTATTGTGAATTAATAGAGATTGGGGGAACTGGAGCATAGGAGCCTTAAGGTATTGGTGAAGTGGAAATATTGTCAGATTTTCTGGGAGAGATTTTTTACTTTATAAAGAGTTTTCTGACATGACTATTGCTAATAAGGAAACAACTAAGCTGGAACACGTTCTTCTCGAAAACTAATGCCAATCATTAAACTGGCTCACAACACTTCCTGCATGCATTTATTACACTAGATTTATGGAAGATCTAATTATCTGTCAAATAATGAAAAATTAGTCACTTAGAGATTAATTAATCAGCATGTGCAAATCACACTGGAGATGATAAATGTTTTCACAAAGAGAAAGATGGAAACTACCCCATTGGATGCTTACTCCTCAGCTCGCTTTCGAAATTCTTCTTATGACAGTTTCTCAAACTTGCACAGCGAGACCACTGGGGATGTTATTGTCAACAATTTATCGACTTTAAACCAAACGTTAGTTTCCTTAATTTCTTCCCTTCTCTTTTTTTTTTCTTGCTTCTAACCCAAATTCTGTACTCATTTATGCCATTTCTTTAGTATTTACATCAATTAAACATACCATGTGGCTATCTTAGACTTTCATCTTGACTCTGCCTTTGTGAAAAAAAGCCAAATCACAAATTTATTTATTCACATATGTTTAATCCACCAGTCTGCTTAAAATTGTCTTGGCAACTGCATAGGAAAATAAACAGAAGGGCAACATTTCAAGTTAAATGTCGCAAAATATTATCTTTCCAAACAAGACTACAGATATTTGAAGAAAACTCTTAAATATTTCTCACCAACTTTGCAAGGGTAGGAGTTTATGTAGCTACATAGTTTGATTAGAGAACACTAAAAAAATTTCAATGATTCAGAAAATCTTCCCACATCTACTAGTTGATCTTTGAAGTCTTGTACCTAAAAGTTATTTCTTTACCTTTCCCGTGATGATTTCTTGAATTTCTACAATGTGCCAAGCATGATTTTATACAATTGGGAATTATTGGTGAATGCAAGAGACAAAGAAGCTTACATTTTAGCAAGGGGATACAGAGAATTAAACATAAACCTAATAAGTAGGTCCATTATGTAGAATGTTAAGAAGTGATGAGAGATATGGCAGAGCAGGGTAAAGGGGATAAGAATTGTAGGGCAGGGTGTAGTGGAGAATGGTCATAAACTGAGACCTGAAAGAGCAGGTATACAGGAGGTTTTGAGGCAAAGGGAGACCAGGAGTGGGATTTTGAACATGTCGCATCTGATATGTACATTAGAAAATCAAGTGGAGATGCTGAGTTGGCAACTGGGATATTCACACCCGAAGTTCGGATGATAGATCTCAGCTAGAGATATAAATCTGGGTATCATCACAACATAGATGGAATTTAAAGCCACATGAATAGATAAGATTACCAAGAGAAGGAATGTAAGTACAGACAAGAAGACAGTCAAAGACTGAGTCCTGGGACACTCAAAAATTAAGAGATTTAAAAGTTAGAGGAACCAGTTCACAGGACTGGGGAGTAACACACGTAATGGGAGGAAAGAAAAAGAGAGTGAATTCTGGAATCCCAGGGATGCAAGTGTAGTAAGGAGAAGAGGGTGACAACTGCATCAAGTGCTACGGTAGATCAAATGAGATTCAAGCTATGAATTGCCATGACAAGTTAGTGTTATTAAATAAATGGCAGATATTCATGGAAGATGTCGCATATTGTTTTCAGTTATTTGTTGCTTCGTGTAAATTAAAGCCATAAGGAAAAATTCGAAAGGTGGCCAGAGGAGATTGTCTGAAAATAATGAGTTCTTTAGGCTAAGGGAAGAATATGGTAACCAGATATCAGAGCTAGAAATGCTGCCGAAGTCTCATAATCATGCTTCTCTAACAATCAGACCTTGGGCAATCCTCCTAATATCTCTAGGCCCATTTATTTTTATCTCCACAATAAGGGATGGAACTATATGACCCCTAAGGTCCCTGCACATTAACACTTTTATGATTTGATGGTAAAATAACACTCAGTGCTTTCACTCTATAAAATTACTTTCATTCTTTAAATGTTGTCTTCTATTCCTTGTTCATATATGCATAAGACACACATCTATGCACAAATATACAGATTTTAAAAATAAGGCTTGCATGCAAGCATTCTTAGTCACTTGATATTTTAAGCAAAGGAAATGAGGCTGAAGAAATGTATCTGACAGGCTCATGTTTGCCTCCCATCAGTTGTCACTGTTGAATGACGCACAACTTCTGAATTATGATTAAGTGTGAAATTTTCAAGGGCTACAAATTTATTCACAAAAAAACACAGCTTTTTTATTACTCTGTGAATTAAGTGAACTTTCTCATCTGTGCCCAGCTTTTGGTTAGCAAGAAAAAAAACTGTCGGGCTGGCCGGGTGGCGCACTGGAGAGTGCGCCGCTTGGGAGCGCAGTGGTGCTCCCACCGAGGGTTCGGATCCCATGTGGAGACCAGTTCCCGCTCACTGGCTGAGCGCGGTGCAAGCGCAATCCCACCGAGGGTTCGGATCCCATGTGGAGACCAGTTCCCACTCACTGGCTGAGCGCGGTGCGAGCGCAATACCGAGGGTTGCGATCCTGTTGCCGGTCAGTAAAAAAGACAAAAAAGGAAAAAAAAAAAAAAGAAAGAAAAAAAAACTATCATTTAGTCTAATGTGGCAAATTTAATCTGTATAACACTTTGAACCATCAGCGTGGGCACATGTTCAATTTCATTTTTACTTTAATTGAGTTAAATACTCGACTCCCAGATTTCTGGTCATCCCCCCTTCTTCTCTCTAAGAGGGTTCTTGGTAGAAGAAAGATGTGTGCGTGTGGCTTAGAAAGTGTCTTGGCATCAAGAAGATGATACTGTCCTCAGGTCATCAAGATATTTTATGCATCCTTGCTGATCTTGGCTATGGAATGGCAGTTTCAGGCAATTCTGGACCTGTTCTACATGAAGTGCCGATGGAGATGGGCATTTCTAAGTCTTAGCTGACAAAATATGCAGGTGGTTAATTTGTGATCCTTTCTATGTCTCAGTTTGGTCAGAGCCAAGTAAACTTTCTTGATGATTTAGCCTCACCTTTATTCTCACTGGAGCTAAAGATCCCCCTGAGGTCCAGCTGGTCTCCCATACAGTTCTAGTCAGTGTGGTCTACTCTGTAGCCTTTGGCTACTGGAACACTCTGCCATGATCATAAACAACTCCATCTTTCAAGCTCTCCCATCAGTTCCTCCATCCATCAGGAGGAGGTAAGCAATGTGGGGTCCTATTAGTGGTATTCCTGAGTTTGATTCAAGGGAGTTGTATTCAGGACCTCCCTTGGCCCAATCTTGCTCTTTCACTGAGTTCACTGCAATGTGGCCATTTCCACAGTCCTAAAAGATGATAGGGGCAGAAGCCAATGTACCCTCAGTGCTTTCTCAGCATAGTTTAAAAAAAGGAAGAAAAAAGTCTCCTCATCACATCCTGACCCCAAAAGAGAGATTAAATGAACTGTCTAATCACCTCCCCTTCCTACCTCTTTCTCCCCTCCTGCCCTCATAATCCTCAGGGACCAGTGGGCCCTGCATTTGTTACCCTCCCTCCTTCCTTCCTGTTTGGAATGGTCAACTGGACCATGTCTGTTCTTTATATGGTTAAGGGCAGGGGAGTTAAACAAATTTACAAAATACTCTCACTCTACAAAGTCTGGATTTCATGACTATTTTGTTGCTGCATAAATCCTATTTTGCAAATCAGGAACTGACTTTCTCTCTGCATTTTCACTCTAATAATGGTAAATCCCACCCCTACCACCTACTGTCAGGAAATAGATACTCAGTTTCATGGGGAAGATGCTTCACAGAGAAATGGAAAATTCAGAAATACTCAACATCTTCCAAAGATTACCACTGCTGCAAAGAAAAAATAAAAGAGCTCACATAAAAAAATAAAAAGAAAAACCTATGTAATATTTGCTGAAGTAATCAAGAAATGGATCCTCTCCTCCTTCAAATAATGAAAGAACTTTCTCAGGAATGACCAGAGTGTTTGGTGGTTCAAGGATTTTTTGTCCCAATAGTCCTGTATGGGTTGTTGACTAAAAACATTTACAAAGCAAGCCTGTGCTTATTTTACAGGGAAACAGACAGGAAGGATTTGCAGACCCCGCTATGGCTGCTCAGGATGCAATGGTAACTAGAACCAGCTCTCGAACTGACTGAAAAGAACCTCGGTTAAAATGGTCTGGGGTGGTTCTGATGCTATTTCCCAGCTGTCTGATGTTTCAGGTCTTGTGGGAAGCCTGTCAGCAGAAGACAGGGGAGCATAAAACCATGCTGCAAGTGATCCTGTGCAACAAGAGCTACCAGCAGCTGTTGCTGGGTAATTATCAATTGTGTTTCTTTCTGGCTACTCAGCTGATTATATAATAAAAAGCAAGTGGTTAACTAGGGGAAAAAAAGAATAAATGTTACATAGAAATAGAGACAAGTCAGTTATTGCAAAGGTACTTATTTTGAATTATTTATTCAGACATGCCTCATTTAATGACAATACTGAAGGATAAAGGTTTCCCTATAATTTCATTTTTTCTGATAACAATTATATAACTTTCACAAACTAAACCTTTAAAAAATTATGTTTTTAATGGAGAACTTACTCAAATAAAAGTGTACTTTTAAAAGTTTGTGGAAATATGAAACTGAAAGATAATACAAATCTTTCCATGAATTTTTGAAGACCCTTCATACATTAGTTATTTCCTATTAGGTATATTATATGTTGTCTTGAAAGTATAAGTCAAGATCATCATTGATGTCATGATTTATGCAATATCAGTAGTGCCTTGTTGGTCTAAAAGGCATACTTTTATTAGTTAGTGTGTTGTTTGACTTTCCCCAAATTGCTGTACCTTTCTTTTTCCCTTCTTTAAAATTAAAAAAAAAAAAATTCTATATAAAACGCACAAAAGTATATAAATTTTTTTTTTCTTTTTTGTCTTTTTTTTCGTGACCGGTAACGGGATCGCAACCCTCGGTGTCGCACCCACACCGTGCCCAACCAGTGAGCGGACCAGTCTCTATATGGGATCCAAACCCTCGGCAGGAGTGCCACGGCGCTCCCAAGTGCCGCACTCTACCGAGAGCGCCACCGGGCCGGCCCTATAAAAATTTTTAAAAGATGGCCTACCCTAACCCAGCCCCCACCTCTATACTTTATATGTCAGAGATACTAATAATAATGAAAAGACACCTCTTTGCTTCTAATTTGCTATAAGAATGGATGAAAACTTTGCCTGGGATAAAGTGAGATGAGTAAGTTCTTGAAGTAAGGAAACTTAAATTAGTACAATTCTAAGTCAGTAAACTCTATGCTCTTAAAGGTGGTTTCATATCTGTCCCAATAATCTTCATAGGTTTTGTAACCACTGTTTTAATTGTCACTCAGAGGACTTTTACACTTAATTCTCATATTTAAGCTCTAGTAGAAAGTTCGCTGTCGACAAGTCTGACTGACCACTGTATATGTCCTAAAATAATGGCTGGTCGTGTCCTTCCTCTCAGCTAAAGTCAGCAGTGTAAAGTTAGTAGATCCCAGTAGAGGTGGCAATTGTTCACAAGGAAAAGAGAACAATAACGGGTCTTTCAAGTCCAAGATTTATGTTGACTCTACTAACTTAGAGTATTTGTATTTGTTTCAAAGAATAGCTATATCGAACACAACCAATAGCCATAATGTTTTCTACTATTTTAGAGAAAGCATTTATCTTCACTATGCATAGCAATATAATCAACATTTATATTTTCAATTTATAATATTTACAAAGTCTCCCTTGAATTATATCAATTTGTTGAAGTTTTTCAGGAATTTCAAAATATTTCTGGGCAAGACATTGTAGATGCCATTAATGAATGTTATGACGGATACTTTCAGGAGCTACTAGTTGCAATTGGTAAGTAATAATTTATTTGGTATACAGCAGAGTTCTCATGCCACAACAAATGCTGACTGGCTCTGACTGAATTACAGGTGCATGAGTAAGCTCTTGACTGAGTCATTTCCCATGAATTTAATTATTTAAAAGGGAAGTAACCTCTACAGAGGAAAAGTATATCAGCTACTTATATGATGCACTAAACTGGCAACCTGATAATTTAATGAACTGACACCCTTCCCTAATAGCTGCTTCAGTTGTCATACTAGGAAATGGAATTCTCAGATGTTGTCTCTCGGGCACTAGGTTTCAACACTGTTAAATCCGTTTTATATTGCTGACGTCCATTCCCTTGTTCAAATGGAGACAAATGCAATGTGGCTTTCTTCTCCCCATGAGGAAAAAAATATTTTTTTCACCATTGCTAATAAATTTGTATTTTGGACATATAAATCTCTGTGACAAAAGAGATTTACCAGGTTATGACTTAGTGGTGATTTCCATAGGCTGTAGTGAAAGAAGGGCACCTCCTGCTCCTGCTCCTTCCTAAATAAGAAAAGACATCCACCCCTCCACAGAGGGAGAAAGAGTGGTAGTTACCCATGAAAACTACTGTTGAATTAACCATGCTTTATCTCATACTGTGCTGTGACTTGATGGCACACATTTTAAGGACTGCAAATGAGCGGTCATTGTGAAATATCCCCATAGTAAGTAGACAACAAATAAATCACTCAGATACTTGTTGAATAAATGAATATTGTGATTTCCCATTCACAGACATACATCACCATGGGAGCTGAGAGATAACAGAATTTTTATAGTTTATCTGCTAATGGAATTTTAAGCTAGGACTCCATGAAAATAGTTTAGTGAATTCTGAGACCCCTGAAATAGTATACAAAAGATGACTATTTACATCTGTGTATTTTTCTGAGAATAGGGGATTTTTCAGCAAGTTCTCAACAAAATTTTTAATCATATATCACATCAAACTCCCTCATTTTATAATTAAGGCCTAAGGAGGTTAAGTGACGGCATCAAAGTCTATCAGCTGATTAGCAACAAAGTAAGACTAGGAATCATGTGACCTGAATCTCACAATAACTCTTTCCACTATAGACCCTTGCTACAGAGCAGGGGCATGAAGAGAATATGTTCATTATATTCAGAAATACCAGGAAACATTTAACTGATTCATTCATTCATTCAATAAACATTATTGAGCACCTAATGCTCTGATCACTGACTTAGGAACTGCAGATGGAACAGTGAAGTGACAATAATAAAAACAACAACCCAAAGTCCCTGCCCTCAAGGATCTTACATTCTAGCAGTGACTCAAGTGTTCACAGGGTTCACTGTATTAAAAACAAAAGATGAGGGCATGATCTCAAAATCTAAAATAATCACCTAAAACTACAGAGAAAACACGGTTACGATGATTTTATTTTGTCTGGAAGTTATAGGTTCTCATATGTTACTCATTCAGGTATTAATTTGTTGACTTATTCAAATAAACACTGTCGAAGGTCTACAACCAACGACTGACTTTCATCAAGGACAACTGTTGACCAGGCTCTAGGCTGTTCTAATGCCAAAGCAGTTTTGATTAGGTGACAGCTCACACTGGTCTTGACCAATTGTGGTCCATACAGTTTCTCCTTAAGATACTTCAGATCTACTCACAGATCCATAAGGGACTAAAAATATCATTCAGGAAGATGAACAAATTGCACGGGGGTATGTCGCATTGAATCTTACAGTAATAAAAATGTACTATAGCGGTGGTAGCCTAGGTTTCTTTGAGCTCTATTTATTTAATTGCCAGATAAAAAGGATAAATTTTTGTTCACTATATGAAGAAAGGCTATATGAAGGAATTAAGAGTTCCAAGAGATATAGACCATATGAAAATCCAAATGACTCATTATAATATTGTTGCTCTATATTTTTGCAGTGGGTTATGTTGTTACCACTATTTTAAGTGTTGAAATTATAATACAATGTGAAGATTGTAACAACAAATAAAGTGTTCTCATTGTTTCTCAAATTCTGAAGAGTATATACTGTCACTCTCAAAGTTTCTTTTCTCTCTACTTTCTTCTAGTTCTCTGTGTTCGAGACAGACCAGCCTATTTTGCTTACAGATTATACAATGCAATCCATGTAAGTAAGACCCACACATTTTTAAAATTTCTCCAGAAATTATGTCTGTATTCTCAAAGAACTAATATTACTTCCATTATTTAAATATTGGTTCCCATTTTTAAACTTGTATGTGAAAATATACATCTCAAAGAAAATATGCCCAAGTGAAAAAAATGTTTTATGCACCAAAAATAAGATGCTTCAAATAAAAATAATTCTCTGCTTTCTGTATCAAATTTAGGTACCTAAGAAATATGATTCTTTGGGGTCTATTTCTCCCCATGTGCTTTAGAGTCTCTTAGGTTGTGAAGAAACTGGTAAATCCATATGCTTTGATTTTTTGTCAGAGACCCCCACATCGTACTTAGGCAAGTGCAAAATATAAGGCATCAAAACATTACAAACTATCAGCAAGAGATTGCTACATTCTTGAAGTTTCAAAACACAAAATAATGTTAATGATTATATTTAAGCACAAAGTGTTATTTTCAAAAAGTACTTAGAGATAGCTAGACAACAATAAACTCTAAAGCTATTCTTGTAATTAATTTGGAATATTTTTTACACTTTCATGTATGAAAATCGCACATCCTTTGGTGCATTTGTTTTTAAGTAAACAAACACTGAAGTAATGAGATAATGCACACCTTACCCATAATGGGCATGAAACATATTTAGAAAGAGAAAAGGTCTCATATAGATCATTATAGTTTGTCATAGCCTTGAAAATACAAAGAAAATTATTAAAAGGAATCCAGTAATAATAATTTTAGGAATCCAAGTGTTTTATCCTCAAAGTAATTTTTACAAGCCAACTTCTTGAAAGTAGCTGGCATGCTGGGAAAATACGTTAATAGTAAAAAATATTTTATTCTATGTCTTGTGCAAAGAGTATTTTTTATTTATGTACAGGAAGAACCCATGTAGCCTAAGAACACAGGAGGAAGATCAATGCTCACAGTCCTCTGCTTCTCTTTTATTCTGTTTCCAAGGAGAAAAAGTTGATTTGATTAAAAAGATATTTGAAATAGTGTATTAGGCAATGCTATAGGATGAGTTCAACAGCTTCTTTCTCCAAAGAACATACCATTGCAACAATAGAATGAAGCTTCACTTGCGAATGACCATGGGGAAATAATCACAATTACTCTGATTTTGATTATGCTCAAATTCAGAGCTACTTATTCTAATAATATATTAAAACTGTATCCTTGATCTGTGTGTGTGTGTTACAAGGCAAAAAGGCAGGTATATGTACTCATAAATGGCTCAGAGGTAAAAAGGGAGATCATATATTCAAATGACCAAATTTTTGATAAATGAGGACCTCAAATGTCAAATATTGGTCTAAAGGCTTTCACTACCCCTGTACCAAAGAAACCATCTGTTTTTTCTCCAGTGAACTTTAAGTGAATTATATACAATTTAAATTTGGAAACTTGGTTAGATCATTCATTTTAATCTCAAATTATGAAAAAGTTTGTTAGTAAATTCATTGACAACAAAAATTAAATTATGCTTATGGGCCAGTAGATGTCACAATCACTCCATTTGAAGAGACAATTTGAAATAGATTTGTTAGGTAATATTATTTCTGCGGCGTGTACGCAGATATTGATTTTGTGTTTTTCAGTATTTGAATTTAAATCAGCAAATATTTCAAGCAACCGGAATTCTAATTTTTACAATTTTTCAATAATGAGGAGACTATAAAGTGAAAATGTAATTGCTATCTTGCTTAGCAATGTTCATTGAATCAAGTAGAGAATGTTTCCCTCCACAAGGAAGAATTTTTATCTAGAAAGAGCACATAGATTTGCATTTTTTTAATGGAATGTGAAGGTTGACAAGGCTGGAAAAAGGGAGAAACTATTGCAGAATCAGGATGGAATGATAAAGGTCAGAGTCAAGACTGTGACACTGGAAATAGATTACAGGGCATTTAAAAACTAAAATAGATAAAAGGGAATAATTCATGGTAAGCACATAGTAAGGGAGAGGGTGAAGTCACAGAGAAGGCTCTTGGCATGTAATTTGGGCACTGCATAGACAGTGATGCCAGCGTTTGAGGATTACAGAAAGAAGAGCAAATTTCTACAGAAAAGGGGATGAGTCCATTTTGGACAGATTGACTTTTAGGTAACGTTTTGTTCATTGCCGCCTTCCCCATCCCCCCTGCCTTTTCTGTATCTTTTAGGATTTTGGTTTTCATAATAAAACCATCATCAGGATTCTAATTGCCAGAAGTGAAATAGACCTACTGACCATTAGGAAACTATACAAAGAAAGATATGGGAAATCCCTATTTCATGATATCAAAGTAAGTATCCTACACATAATTTATTTTGACCCATGTTTTATCCTTTTGAAAACAGAAAAAAACTTAAATTTTTTTCCCTAAAAAATTTATTTATTTTTGATTATACAAATTATAGGGTGCAGAGTTGACTATCAGTATTTATGTACAGTATGTGATGACTAAATCAATATTATTAGCATGTTCCTCATTACAAATTGTAATTATTCTTTGTGTCCCTTACCAAATTACTCCCTAACCCCCCTTTCCCACCTCTAGTAACTATAGGTCTGTTCTCCCCCTCTGAAAGTTCAGCGTTTTATTGTGGTCTTTCTTTCTTCCTTAGCTCTCACTTATGAGGTAGGACATGTGGTGTTTCTCTTTCTGTGCCTGGCTTATTTCACTTAATATAATTTTCTCCAAACTCATCCATGTTGCTGCACATGGCAGAATGTCATTCTTTGTTATGGCTGAGTAGTATTCCATTGTGTATATATACCACATTTTCCTTATCCGGCCATCTGTCGATGGACATTAACAGTTTTAATTTTAATAACTTTATGGTGGTGTCTAAAAAGTTAAATATTCTGAAAGGGATAATCTATTTTAGTCCTTCAGACAGTCTTTAGTGCAACTGGTTCTAACTTAGAAAAGCCTTTACTTCAATGACAAAACTTACTCCTCATTGACGTCTTTTAAGCAAAATCTTGATGTAGTTATGTAAAATATTTATTCCCCATAATTGTCCTTTAAGAGCTAAATTCTGGAGTATGACTGGGATTAGGGAAAATATATTTTGCAGCAAGACCACATTATTTGTGAAGAGGTTTCCTAGATCAGTTCTGTTCTCCTCTCATATCATCCTGGAAGGCAAGGAAGCTTGTCAAATACCATAAACTGGTAATTTGGAGGAATTTAACATTATTAGTTATGTAAACCTCTACATATTCTTGCCCCTTTAGCCCTTGAAGGACAAAGAAACAATGATTCAGAAGCAAACAAGTCAATTTCCTCATTCTAATACTTCTAAATTTTACCCCAGGTTTTGATAAAACTTAGCAAAGAATTATCAGAATATGTAGGACCATCTATGTTATTTTGGGGACCCAGTGAGAAAATGAAAATGCTTGGCCCCTTGTCCAAAAAAATAGTACAAAAATTCAAGATGGTGACATTGAGACATTAAACCGAGCACAGAACACTGAGAGTGTATCTTTACTTCTGCTTCCACATTAAGGGCTATTACCTTATTCACATTATTTTCAACTGAAATTTTCAATTGTGAGAAATAGCTTTTTAGTGTGTTGAAAGAGTTATCTAGAAGCAACTTGACAATCCAAAGACCAACAGACCAACAGACCTTATAGGTTTTATAAAGTCTTATGGATTTTGAACCAGAAGTTTATGGAGCAGTTAAGAGAAATCATATTCCTATATCTTTCATAAAACTCTCCTTACATTCTCCTTCAAGCACCTAAACTTAGTAATGATAATTTTTTCCCATTGAGAAGTGCATAATTCATTCTCTAAATGAATAAACTAGTTCTTAAACACCTACTGTAATTAATCACGGCCACCTCAAAGTCTGCAAGTATTTACATATAATTAATGCAACTTTACCATGTGCATTTAAAGCAGTGAATTGTAATTACATGATTTCATTAAGGGAACATTAATATGGCAGTTAATTTTTAACAAAAATAAATTTTATATAAGTATTTATTTATTGCTATCATTGTTTTTAAAAAATTAGAAAATATAGAAGATCATAAAAATACAATTAAAATTGCCCTAATTCTCTGCCACAGATAACCAGTAATAAAATTTTGTTGTAGGTGCTGCTAGGGTCTGAATGTTTGTGTCTCCCCAAAATTCATCTTGAAATCCTAATCCCCAAGATGATGGTATTAGGAGGTGAGGCCTTTGGGAAATGAATAGGTCATGAAGTTGTAGCTTATGAATGGGGTTCATGTTCTTATAA